TTATTACATCCGAGATGAAATGTCACATCCAAGATAATATCATCGCGCTAATCAGGATCTGGCTAAATCGGTTCTTCGAACGCACCTGTTGATGATGATTAGTCTGGCTGGATTGAGTTATCTGAGATAATTGCGCGTTCGTGGGTTGGTTTAAAAGGGGCTATGTATCGATACTCGAAACCACGATCAGCAATGCAGCGAGTGACTGGCGGCAAGACATCATATAATTAAAAAAGACACCTGACGAAAAACTTGACACATTTCTGGACTTTTAAAAGGAAATGTTAATGTTAAAATGTTATAACAGATAAATGAAATGTGCACTGTTTTTATTTTTATTTTTTTTACATGATTCCCAATTATTTATATTCACGATTTCTAATATTTTACATTTTTATTTCAATGTAATTAGCAATTTGTTTAATTTTATATTTGAACAGATTTGTTATGTGACAGCATCTATAGTATTAAAGACTACACAACATTATTATATTATCTTTAAATACATTTTTAAATGATTATTATTTTAAATTGTAGTCCCTGGATTAGTGGGGTACTCTTGTAATAAAGTAGCATTAGTAACGGACAGATTTTAAGTATCAATTCTGCTTAAAAAGATGCGCTCTAATCCTGTTTACATGAAATAAGCTGCTTCCAAGCAGGTTTAAGCTTACTGTTGCTATGACAGCAAGTCCAGGATGAGCTTCGAAGAACCAAACAATCCAAGATCAGGCCAAATTATCAACAATCATACAGCAAGAATAAAAGTTACGCCTTCTTTCTTTGCGTGAACATTTGGGCGGCGTTATGCAAATCTTCCCACATCGTGACGTAGATATGTGGGGGCGTTAGAAAGAGGCGTTTTAGGTATGCGTGGTTGACTCTTAACTTTTATAAAGAATATCTCTTTGGATTTGAGACTTTAGTCTTTGCAACTTTACAGATATTCTTTATGCACCAAGAGCGTGTAACACTCCAAAGAGAAAGGAACAATTGAAATCGCATCATATGGCCCCCACATCTGCAGATCAAATCGGATCCGAATTTTCTGCATCTGCATTTTTGATCGGAACTCCGCGCAGCTCCCGCACTACTCTCCATTGGAAATGAATGACTTCCGGTCTGTCGCTTGTCGGAGATAGTGGAAAGGCGGCTTTAATGGATAAGTTCATTTCTGACCCTGACCGGAGCTGCTGTTTGTTCTGGTGTTGTCAAGAAAATGTGAGTCTCGTTGTTACTGCATTGACGTCGTTTCAGACTCACTGTGATCTCCAGCAGGAGCTCTGATGTGTTCTGGTGTCTCATCAGCAGGCTCACACAGGACTCCTGTAGATGCTGCTCTGTCTCATCATCTCTGGCTCTCTTCATAGGTCTGCGCGCTAAACAAATAACGTTACATCAATCTCTAAACTAGTGAGAAATGCGGCTGATGGTAATACTACGTGTGTGTCAATGACAGGAATAGTCCGTCTTACCGAGCAGAGCTGTGACAGTGGCGGAGCGCGATGAATGTTCTTCGGCTGATGTCGCGCTCAACATGCTGCGATCATTTCATTCGATCCCGGTGGGATTAAACAGATAAAGCACACCAGTAACGTTACACACATGCACTTCGTCTGCCGCAATTTCCGCAAACCCGCGCGCTGACATCGGAGTTCTCACTGGTTGTGAGAAAACTAAAAGCAACCTATCGCCAGCAACAGTCTTTTACTGCGAGTGGTTTCATTGGTTCGGAGCGAACGGGCAGCAGCCAATCGTCATGGGCACCTCTGTTGTCAGCCAATCAAAGAGTGAGCGTCAACCCAATCACAGAAATGCTACAGTGAAGCATGAAAGACGATATATTACAACAAATGCATCCATTAGGAACAAAAAACATTATTATTTTTTTTGCTGATGCACTGATGGAGAAATACAATCAATAAAATAAACAAAGCACCATCACAAGATCACTCAGCTCCCTGCCTGTAAACGAGCAGAAGAAAGAACAAAGACCACTAGAGTAAACATCAAGCTTATGCAGAGCTTAAAGGGATAGTTCACCCGAAAATCTATATTCTGTCATCATCTCTCATCTTTATATCATTTCAAACCTGTATGATTGTCTTTCATCTGTGGAACACGTTATTTAAAGAATGTCGTTTTTACCTAAAGTCAATAGGATCCAGCTTCAAGCTGCAACAAGGACATACGTATAAAGGTAACCAAAGTAAAGTAATCCAAACTCCAGTGGTACAGTTTTTACCCAACCCATGTGTCTTTTCAGAGCTTGAAACTTGGATCCCATTGACTTTCACTGAAAAACAGCTGAGACATCTTCAAACATTGTCTTTTGTGTTCCACAGATGAAATGAAATCATATGAGTTTAGAATGAGACAAAGATGAGTAAATGATGACAGTAAACTATTCCTTCAATAGATGTTAGTCATGATGGTGAACATGAGATAGGACATGCTCTTTAGCCACAGCCATACTTAACACCCGAGAAAACAGGACTGACCATGGTACACTGCAAAAAAATGAGGGCTGGATGAAAGTTTAAGTGGGTCAGTTGTCTCAAACACAAAGCCAATACTGTCTGCACACACTCCAATACGTCGATCCATGATATTCACAATCACGTGGATGTGACACTGTCAATGTGGTTGCAAACCATCTGTTCAGTAAGTATATTATAGTGTAATTCAAAATGAACACAAGTTCAGTGCATGACACAACAACACAAGCACATCTGCTTAACCTCTGAGAAAAAGCCAATGCAGAACCGTGTCTGTGACAAATGAACGTCAACAAACCAGCATCAATATTTGCCTCTTTCAGTTGCTGGAAAATCTGAAGCTTAAAAAACCCTTTTCAGATCAGGGGCCAGATTCATGAAGCTTTTTATGAAAAAGTAAGAAGTTACATTTCTTAAGATGAATTAAGATGTAAGTGCAATTCTTGAAAAAATTCTTAAGAAGTTCTCAAATGTTTTGTTAAGAACCTTTTATTCCTTAAGAAGAGAAGCTTTGATGATACTGTTTGTGCTCCTCGCTGTCTCGCCTTTAAAGTAATAATAATCATAATAAGACAAGATTTATGGCAGGCTGGAGGTTATTCTAACTTTTAGAGGTTATTCACAGTGAGTTTAAAGAACATTTTTGTTAGGAATTCAAATCTTTAGAACAAAAAATATTGTAAGAAAAAGACAAGTACATTCTTAAGAAATGCAAAATACTGGTAACACTTTACTTAAAGCCTTTATGTATAATGCATTATAAAAGTAGTTTTAATGCATGAATTATGCCTTGTAATATACCTTATGATGCATTGTACAGTCTCATGAATAACTGTAACCACAGTTAATACAGTATAACACTTATCAATTCATTGTTACACTATGCATTTCAAATTCGGTTAAAATTATTTACAAGATATAATGTATTACAAATGCACATTACATTATGCATTGTACCCTTTAATAACCATTTATAATTCATTATACATAAAGGCTTTAAGAAAAGCGTTACCAAAATATCCCTAACTTTATTCTTAAGATAAAAAAGAAGAAGAAAATAGCAGTTAAGAAGAATTTCTTAAAAGTGGCCCCAGTTCTCTTCAGATGAGCTTTTCACTACAGATAAGCATGTGCTGCCCAGAGAACTCAGGATAAGGGTTAACAGCTCACGGTCATGCTGTCCGGATGTTGGTAAAAATCACATATTTTAGACAGACAGCATAATCTGATGAATTTGAAAAAGGCCAACTTTGATTTGAACTTGCATGTGGGATTGACGAGAAGAATTGTTGAACTCTGCAGGCATGAACAAATATAAGTCATGGTGCCAGAACTGAAAGACACTTCTTTTGTCTTGTCAAAAAGCATTTAATCACATGTCACCATTGTTTCAGCACGTGGTTCAATCACAGCAACATCATCATCACACATCATCTCGAAACAAGATACAAACAAAGCATCAGAATTACAAAAGAACATATCGCAAAATTACTTAGAAAAATATCTCATATATTCCGTAAACACTGTCATTTTAATACGCGTAAGACTGTGTTAATTAAAATCTGATTTAAAAAAGAGGCTGAAATAAAAATGGCCACAATGAGCGAAGGCCTTTGGTAGTAAGACAGAAACACTTCAGCGGCCCGCAGACTGATCGAGCGTCACGGCCGTTCTGGCAGTAGTGCTTGGCTTTAGCTGGCGGTTCCTGAGGCGGGCGGCAGGCACAGGCGTCGCTGGGCGATGTGAACCAGCACCAGCAGAAGCATCTCCGACGTGCTGCTGAGGGCCACTATGAAGGGCGCCTGGGACGCGTAGTCGGCCTCGGCCCGCTGGAACGACAGCTGCATGACAGCCAGCGCCAGGAGACTGTTCTGCACGCCCACCTCGATACTGACGGTTTTCCTCTGAGCCAGCGGCAGCCCCGCCAGCCGCGCTAAGCCACAGCCCACCAGCAGCCCACAGACGGGCACGGTCACGCCCGCCGCCACGATCGGAGGCTGCACGTTGGCCAGGATGGAGGAGCCCATCTGATAGGCCATGAAGATCCCCCCGACGATGAGCACGAAGCTGAAGGGGCGGATGAGGGCGAGCAGGACGCGGGTGACGGCGGGCAGGCGGAGCTTCACCAGCATGCCCAGCGAGATGGGAATGGCGATGAAGAGCAGCGTGCCCAGGATCTTGACGAAGGGCACGTGGAGCGCAGCGTGGACCCCCAGCAGCAAGCCGTACAGCGCCGAGGACAGCGGCATGGCTGCGGCCGCCACCACGGTGGAGATGAGGGTCATGCTGATGGCCAGGGTGACGTCTCCACCCAGCAGCAGGCTGTAGAGATACCCCCCGCCTCCACCCGGCGCCGAGCAGGTGATGACCAGCCCCAGTGCCAGCGCCTTGGGAAGGGACGCCAGGCGGGACAGCCCGTACGCGTAGAGCGGCATTATGAGGAACTGTCCCGCGACACCCAGCAGCAGCGGCACCGGCCTCTTCAGCAGACCCAGCAGAACCTCCACCTCCACCTTACAGCCAAACGCACACTTGTTGATGAAGATGAGCGGCAGCAGCACGAACAGGACGGGGTTCTCTGAGAAGTGCGACAGCCCGCTGGGCTCGAGGAGCCGGGCCGCGGGGTCATCGCCGCCTGCCGCCACCCTGATGGAGTAATCGCTCCGCTCCTCGATCAGAACCGGCTCCGAGTCCCTGTACAAGTCCAGCAGCTGGATGAGCAGCGGAGCCGTTCCCGGTACCCCGGACCGGATGCTGATGACGTAACTGCTCACGGCTCCCGAACGTCCGCTGTCGCTCACGTTGAGGATGGAGATCACGTCCGGGTCCAGAGAGCTCACCCGAACCGTCTGTTTGAGGCTCTCGCGACCCTTCCGGCCTCCGGAGCCGCGGTACCTGCTGGAGATGACGATCACTCCCGGCGTGTTCTGGGGAAACTCGAACTCCTGCGAGGAGCCGTCGCCGATGTACAGGTACTGGACGGGGTTCTGGTTCTGATCGGGCTTCTCGGGATCTTCTGCTTGAGCGATTAACAGCAGACAGCTCAACACGAGCACTGTCTTCATGACTCCACCCGCCGCACCGCTGAGAGCTGCCAGTGCAATCACCGATTCATTAGAGGTGGGAATATTTCTCCTCGTTCTGGCTCAAACACAGCTGCGGTCCGCTAGTAACATCTTTAAATCTGCTCATGATCGTAAAGATCAGACTCACAATCATCTCATGACGGCTTAGACAGGAATCCACTCAGCACCGCCCAGAAACATCCAGCACGAACAGTTCAGAGACGGTGTTTCCGTGTGTGTCTCGTCATGTTTGCTCTTGTTCCGTCATCTGCTCGTGACTCCGGTCTGAGCAGCTCGGGCGGTTACTATGGGCGACTCCCTGCAGAAACAGCTTGTGGCTAGAAGGGATACAGCAAAATCTACTGGGCATGCGCACATCAATAGAGCGGACATTTTCTCTCACTGTACAACAATAATTACTATTTTTGCGTTATTGTAATGGGTAGGTTTCGGGTTGGGGTAGGTGTAGACGTTAATAAAACACAATCTAATAGGTACAAAATTCAATTTATTGTTAGCGTCCGGTTTTTGCTGTGTCCCTTCTAGCCACAACCGGAGAAAGCGGAAACCAGCTCTGAAAGTGTTCATTTTCATAATTAAATTCTTCACTGCGTAATTCCAATACCGCGTCTTTTAAAGTGTTTCCATCATTGTTCAAGTGTAAATTCTTATCCAAACAGTAGCTGAAACGCCACAGACTCGGCGTTGGTCACGTGGGAGCCGTTTCTTTATTAAACGCTCTCAAGGATGGACCAATCACAGCGGCTTGTGAGGCGTTTGATCTGATCGTTTCAGGAAGACTGCAGCAGCGGATTTGCGATTGTGTATCAGTTACCGATTCTGGAAAACGACACATTTAAACAATTATAATTTCAGTGTAGAAATGTCTCCAGTGAAGCATAAATGTCCTCTGATATTTGAAAAAGATTGAATTAAGGAAAGGGCTTTCTGAGCAGCATTGCGCCCCTGCAGGAATAACCATGTGTTTGATGGAAACCGGTATTGGAGAGAAACGCCCAGTGAAACTCTTCAGAAAACACCTTTTACAGTCTATGGAAAACACGGAAACACTGGCTCGTCACCCAGACTATGGAAGCCGATCGTGGACTAACCTCACAGACAGTCGCGCTTTTTTTCCTTCTCTACTGTAATGTTTCCTTTTGACTTGTCAATAAAAACGTGTTGATTCTTCCCCAGACAGCAACATAGTGTTGGCCCAGATCCGGCCCACATCTGGCCCATGTGAAATCCATGCGGCCCAGATGTGGGCCGAAACTGTCTGCTGTCTGGGTCAGAATCAGATTACAGAAACCATTGCATGCATTGTTTGCTGCCCTGATAACTCACCTGACATTCAACGACTGTTGTTTTATCTTCATATATGATTGAGCTGATTTAACACGGTTTGTAAATCGCTGTTCCACGACACTCTAATTGTCTTAAATGACTTACTGTACAACACTGAACATTGATAATAATCAGAAATGTTTGTTGAGCAGCAAACCAGCATATTATACTGATTTCTGAAGATCATGTGACACTGAAGACTGGAGTAATGATGCTGAAAATACAGCTGCGCATCACAGGAATACATTAGTTTACAACATTTTCACATAAAAAAAGTCATTCAATTGTACTCATATTTCACAAAATTACTGTTTTATTGTATTTCTGTTTAAATAAATGAAGCCTTTGGTGAGCAGAAGAAACTAGTTTCAAAAACATTTAAAAGCTGCGCAATTTTATTCAGTGAAAAGAACAAAAAGAAACATCCAGACAAGATCAGAAAATTTATTATGTGCTTGCATTCGATAAACATACAGTAATGGTAATAAAGCATGTATGTGTAGTGGAACATTTCTAACATTAGTTATTTATGGCATGAATAACTGGAAGAGGCATTCTACATTCTCAATCATCTAGCATCACTTTATGTCTTCCCATGCTGTAAATCAGCATTACTTGGGTGTAAAACGTGTCATATTTGGTGTTGTACAGGATGGTACTGACAGAACAGTGTTGTTAACAGAGCTTCTGTGGCTTTGAGCTGGTTCTTCTGTCCATACGAGCTCAGAATCAAAACCACCTGCCGTCAGTGAGGATTATCACCAGGAATCTACAGGTTCAGCTCAGGGGCTTTTACAAGCATGAACGAGCTGTAAACATCTTCATGTCAAATGTTGTTTAACGGACTAAGCTGCTTAAAAAAACAGTAGCACTGGAACATGCCACATAAGATGCATTTCAGAACTGATATTAGAATGATTTTATTTATTTACATGATGAATGCTCAGAAGAAACTGATCTAACCCTACACCCGAGCGGATCCGGAGGAAACACAGCACAACTGCAGCAGGAACCAAAGGCTCTTACAGAAATATGAGAAAATAAGATTCCATTACAATATGGTGTGTGTGTGTTTATATCTGGGGTGGATTCATACACTCTTGTAATATGATGGAGGCACTGAACGCAAGAAGCACCCAAGTAAGGCATGAGGAACTGAAGCAAACTCAGGAGAAAATCATGCATTTCACGCGCTGTATACTACACTGACATTATGAACGATCAGTCTCTATCAGGTTTAAATAAATATGCAAACTTCAATCAACACAGTGTCGGTAAAGAGAATGAGCAAAACCCAAGAGCCCTCCTCTGCATCAGAAGCCCTGCGTAGAGTAGAAATAAGCTTCCTGATCTTTCTCGTCCAGAAATAAAGAGGGGAAATGACTTGTGCTCTTTTGACAGACACAGTCATGTTTGATGACGGAGACACTGAGAAATAAAGAGCTGACAGATGAAGGAGAGACAGTACATGTTTTCATCAAAGTGTGGGAGATAATGTGCATAAATGGACTGGTTTATAAAAACCAGCGTCCTCCACGCAGGAAAGGTTTGATTGAATCTCTGAACGCCATCAGTTACGTAAAGCTGCCAACCTGTAACACAACATCAGTCACCAACACTGAGTATGAGTCCATGCATCAGTAAACCACAACAGGTCCCAAACCAGATGAAACGAGCACTCAACAGCTTTAAAGACATGAAATATTAGGCACAACTACTGGGGTGTAATGTGAGTGGTGACTCTGGAGGTGAGAGACGTACCGTCTGGAGAGCTGGTCTTCTTTGTCCTGCGAGCGCACTGACGTCTCTCCCAGTGACGAGGCTCCCGCTGGCAGCTGACTGAGCTGGTCCTCCACCTCCAGGCCGCTCTCCTCCGCGATCTGCAGGATCAGATCATCCACCTGCTCCTGCGGCGTGCTCAGCGTGGTGGCAGAGCTCATGGAGTCCTCCATCACCTGCACACACCAGCAGCTCTCAGAGACCACGGCCTGGGCTAAAATGCTCATGAGAAATAGGATTCAAAGGATCTCGGCACTCACCGAGGTGTGAACGTCTAGATTCTGAACCTGGCTCTCAAACTTGTCCATGACAGCCGACACTTTCTGCAGGTCCATGGAATTCAGAGCCTTATCCAGAGCTTTAGTCACCTGCGTCATGCTTTTCGTGACCTTTTGAAATAAAGCAGGATAAAGGCTGGACTCAGATCGGTTCTTAGAGATGTTGAGAACAGCAATCAGGACACAGTCCTCGTCTCACCCCCTTCATAGTCACGGCCGTCTGGACCTTCGAGGCCACGGCGTCCACGCGAGACGCCATACGCAGCCAATTCAGACCCTCGTTCTTCTTGCGAATGGCATTCTCTGCGTACACACGAGCACACTCCACGTTCTTCTGCTGGAGAGCCTGGAGAGTTACAAACACAAGATAAACAAATGAAGCTTCTTCTGCGGACACGTGAATCAGGAGTGACGGTTCAGCCGAGAGGTGACTGCTAATTTATCATTAATGATGAGCACATGTGAGCTTTGAAATTAAAAGCTACATGTTGGATCCTTAAAGATAGGGTAAGCTGATTTCAGAGAGGCTAGCAATAGCAAGCTAGCTTTGAAAGCATAAGATCCCACCCTCCCAGCATAATCACTCTCCAAAGCCACACCTCCTCCAAAACACAGGCAGAGCAGAGGCTAACCAGATGAGAGAGATTACCTTATGTCTCATTCACCGGTGAGAAAACATTACAGTACAAAGTGCATAATATTACAATAATAATGGCTTCCATTCTTGCTCGCTCTGCAGTAGCGTAATGGAGCGCGCTGATGGCGTATCATGTCTGCGCCAACAGGGTGTGCGGAGGTATGCAAACACATGCATTGAAAGGCAGGTAGGACAGCCTATCGTAGCCTTCGGACCGAGGAATATGATTGGACAAACATTTTATGGTCCTACGCCTTCCACAGACAATAGAAATACATTTAGAGCACTTAACTTAGTTGTAAATGTGACCCTGGACCACAAAACCAGTCATATGGTTCCTTTTTTTGACATTGAGATTTATACATCATCTGAAAGCTGAATAAATAAGCTTTCCATTGATGTATGGTTTGTTAGGACAGGACGATATTTGGCTGAGATAAAAATTTGGAATCTGAGGGTGCAAAAAAATCTAAATATTGAGAAAATCATCTTTAAAGTTGTTCAAATGAAGTTCTTAGCAATGCATATTACTAATCAAAAATTAAGTTTTAATATATTTACGGTAGGAAATTTACTAAATATCTTCATGGAACATGATCTTTATATCCGAATGATTTTTGTCATAAAAGAAAAATCAGTAATTTTGACCCATACAATGTATTGTTGGCTATTGCTACAAATATACCCCAGCGACTTAAGACTGCTTTTGTGCTCCAGGGCCACAGATGTGCTGTGACAGAACCGAGCACAACCCTGTGACTTTACCCATAAGCACTTGACGTGAAGATAACTGACATGCCCCTGTTTGAGGTTTTAAAGGCAGGGTAGGTGATTTTTTTGTTTTGCTGGCTGAAAGTCTCTTCACATCCCGATGGCAATCGCAGACAAAGCTGACGTCACTATCACAACACACCCTGAAGCAGTGACGTCACACATCTGCTGCTCTACCTTTTTTACTTTGGCTTGTTCGGCTTTGGAGTCTTTCTCTGCCTTTTTGGCCAGTCGCTCCAGCTGCTTCGCTGTGAACTGGTGAAAAAGACAAGATTCAAAGATCAGATGAGACTGCCATCATTAGTGCATCCATAGTGAGGGAAAGACAGAAATATATAGTCACCTTAAGCTGGAAGAGTGTGTCTGTGTGAGAGAAACACACCAACAATCAATCAATCATTCAGCTCACGTGATCAGAACTAGTGAACATGAAAGGCCTCGAGCCTTACAGGTTACATGTTTCTAGTTACACAGCAGCACTGAGAGTTAATACTGATAACGAGAATAAACTAATTCAACTACACCAGTATGACACAGAGCCTGGTAACAATCAAATCAAACGTTAACGTGTGTGATGATGACACAGCATATCAGTTCATATTTATGAAACGAGATCATGATTCATTACAGAAAATCCGATCAAATGACATTCCTAATAAAGTCAGTGATAACACGGAGTGTTTAACAGACATCGAGCGAGCGTTTTCCTACCGTCCATGTTAATGTTCACTGCGGTTTTATAAGGTCTGATGGTTTAATTCGATGTTTTTCAGCTCGATTCGTTTGTTTATATGTCTCCGCTCGGGCGTCTCTCTCTCTTCCGGGTTCAGCTGCTCACCGGCGTCATCATGACGTCACGTGCCGCTTCTTCTTCGGGCTTCAACGGCGGCTTGAGCTCCGGATGTGTCACTAGCGCCTCCTCTGGAGCCGCTGTCCCCAGGAACGGTGCGAGTATCTATCACTTTGTCCACTCCTAGCACATTAAGTATATTCTTTACTAATTTTCCTTTCATTCATAATCTTTACATTTCTTTCATCAAGTCCTTTCTCTGTGCTTCATATTTTCTGCATTTAACTAGTAGCTACATGTTACCTGACAATATAGTCACAAAAGTCATTCTGATGCTTTCTTATAATGTGAAGTGTACTGTTCAGATTGCTGTGTCCCGTTCTCAGCCTAGTCTCTTCTTCTAGTGAAGCATACAGTAGGATACTTGTATCGCACTCAGTGAGAGAGCGTCCAGGGAACAGTCCGCGAGCGGCGCTAATGAGCGAGCCCGAGCTGGAGCCGCCCGCAGCGGCAGAGAAGAAGAAGGCGCTGCAGCGGAAGAAGGGCACAGCGATGGCGGCGTCCATCAGACTCGGGCAGAGGGCCGTTTTCATTGCTCTGAGAGCCATAAAACCCTATAAGCTGACCGTTCAAAACAGACTAATAATTCAGGATAAACGCCAGTGGACCGCAGGCTGGACCGGAAGCGGCTTCAGACACTTGTTTCAGTCGCCGTCAGTATGTGGTGAGTTTTTCTGGCAGGTCAGCAGAAGGGCAAGACTCATATTTATTTATTATAGCACAGTTTACATCATAACAGCACTGTGTGCAGACGAGTGTATTTGCTCTACACTAAAGTGTTTCTGACAGTTATGATGGCTTTCGTTGATTGTTGTGTGCTGCTGATTTCATTAGATTACTGAGTTGTTGCTCTTTTGCAAAGCACAGACTAACACACTCGCATACACACACACACACACACACTCTCACACACACACACACACATTCACTCTCTCTCACACACACACACATTCACACACACACTCACTCTCTCACACACACACACATTCACACACACACTCACTCTCTCTCACACACACACACACTCACTCTCACTCACTCTCTCACACACACACACATTCACACACACACTCACTCTCTCACACACACACACATTCACACACACACTCACTCTCTCACACACACACACATTCACACACACACTCACTCACTCACTCACTCACTCACTCACTCACTCACTCACTCACTCACTCACACTCACTCACACGCTCACTCACATGCTCACTCACACGCTCACTCACACGCTCACTCACTCACTCACACTCACACACTCACACTCACTCACTCACACGCTCACTCACTCACTCACTCACTCACTCACTCACTCGCACACACACACTCACTCACACTCACACACTCGCTCGCTCACACACACTCGCTCGCTCACACACACTCACTCACTCACACACTCACTCTCGCACGCACACTCGCTCGCTCGCTCACACACACTCACTCGCTCGCTCGCACACACACTCCCAC